GAAAAATTTTTGCAGCACCTTACTAAAGGCTGCAAATATTGAATGGTCATAAATACTAATAAAATAAAAGCTAAGATGGAGTTTTTCTAGCCCAGCATCTGCAAGGTCATCATTGGCCCTTTGATGAATGTCCCTCTGTGTTTATATTTTGTAACCATCAGACAGACCATCAACGTTGTGAATAAAAACCTCAAAATTCATGTCTAGGTTAACTTTGTAGGCTTTAGAAACAGTAAAGTTTTGTTAAAGCTTCCATGTAGTCATCCTGTGCATCAATGACATATATCAGTATTCCTGTCCCCCTAAAGATGATCTCAAACCAAAAGCTGAGTCAAAAAAGTCCATTTGCCCAGGAAAACCCCATATTTGGAAATTCACAAAGGAGCTATTAGAAATGTCATCTTTGTAAGTCTTGATGGTCCTTTCCAAAAAGAGGGTCTCGTTGGGTGACATTTTATGAAACACCACCTTCTGAATGCAGGACTTGCCCGTTGCTCCGGAGGCCCGTGAGCAGAATCCTTGACTTGGAGCTGTCAGCACCCCACTCGGGCCACAATCTCCGCCGGCCCCCGTCCCAACTCCGCCGCCCGCCGCCTCCCCTTCCTCCTGCTTCACGACATAGTCAAGTCCTTTGGGAACGAATCCGCCGCCAGGTACTTGCCTGCGAGGGGCGTCTCCTCCGCCCGGTACTGCAGGGACAGGGTGCTGAAGCCGCAGCCGCCCGCGCCCTGACAGGCCAAGCCAGACCGCTGCCTCCCCAGTCCGCCGCCGCCTGTAGGCAGATTCATTACCATCTGAGCCAATATAAATGTAGATGAAATCATACAGATAGGTTGAGTGATAATTTTCTAAAATGTTTTATTATTAATATAAACAGAAAAGTGCCATAAATTGCTTTGCTTGGGTAGACTAACTTCTCCCCAGCAGACCACAGAGCTGGGGTGTAGACAAGTGAGCCCAGGGTGTTCCCATCCTCCGCCTGCAGTTCCCCTGAGGCAGCGACCTTCTCTTAGTCTCCCCTCTAGGGCCTGACCCAGGGCCTGACTCAGGGGCTCAATCAACACTCCCTGAAACACTACACTTGGGAAGTGGCCTCTTGTGTCCTAGTCAAGACAGTGACTTCCTCTAGTAGGCACCCCCAAATACTGACTCTTACAGAACTCTTGATTTGCTCTAACAGCAGGACTGTGAAGGTGGCAAGTGGAAACGTTGGCTTCTTTTGCTGACAAAACCATGGAGCCGGCAGCACTTGTGCTATTTCACAGAAGGCCCCAGAGGACAGAGTATGGCTGCTTATGATAAACACTCAGCCCTGCGCCCCCCGCCCCAGCCCCCTACTCAAAAGTTGTTTTTTCCCCAGTTAGCCTTAATCGGAACATGTTTGAACTTGGAGGATTTCTTGAAGGTACATTGATTTGCTTTTCTTCTTTCATCTCACTTGGAAGCTAATAAAAGTCCACTACAAATAACAAATATAAGTTGTCATAAGTTGCCCTGTGACACATGGATGGTAAAACTATGTGTCCAGTTCTCAATCTGTATCTAGCCTCTGTCCATCCTCTCTCTCTCTCTCTCCATCCATAAACATCTATCTATGCAACAATCTATGTAATGTACTAGAGATGCTTTTCAATCATGTTACCAAGGATTTGTGACATGAGTCTTTGTGTACTAAGTGTTCTGCTCAGAAGACAGTGGGAATGTCCCTGACGCCATGTGAAGGTGGGCAGTAGGTCTCAATGGGAGTCGTCCAAAGTGGAAGATCCACTCGGGGTAGTCAAAGTCAAGTCCATACTGTCTCCTGTCCCCAAAGCATTGAGTCTGCCTTCCTGGGGGAACTTTGTTAAAATCCTTCATATTCTAAGAAACATCAGGGTGCAAATAATGAGCAATATTTACAATAACTGTGGGAGAGAGATAAAGTGATGGTTTTAATTACCTGCTACTATGTCAACAACAACCTTCACGGTATTCCATTACAACCGCTACTCAGCCATGTGAGAGCAGAGTCTATACCTCGGTTTTCGAGTGTATTACAGACTCTCAGCCCAAAGCATGAGCCAAACTGGACAAAACATGTGTCAATACTGCTGGATGAATACATTTGGGATCAGGACCTGAGAGATTGGAGAATGTATTTGATATCAGAACTCTTCTGGAGCCGTCCTGACAGGAAGTAATCATAAATTGTCTGCTACCTCGCCTGCCAGGCCCTGGACACTGATAACCTTCCCATATCACCCCTCAGCCAGGACAACCCTGATCACAGGTATTCCCCACATGAAATCTCACTATCAACTCTAACTTCTTCGGCTCACTTTGGCCTCCTTGATTGTCCTACTGTGTGTTTACCACTCTAGGGATTCAGGGACACCTCTGATTCCCTTGGGGAACTAATATCAGATCCTATGGTTCCAAATAGGAAAAGAAGTACATCAAGGGTGTATATTGTCACCCTACCTATTTAACTTATATGCAGAGTACATCATGAGAAACACTGGACTGGAAGAAGCACAAGCTGGAAACAAGATTGCTGGGAGAAATATCAATAACCTCAGATATGCAGATGACACCACCCTTATGGCAGAAAGTGAAGAATAACTAAAGAGCCTCTTGATGAAAGTGAAAGAGGAGATTGAAAAAGTTGGCTTAAAGTTCAACATTCAGAAAACTAAGATCATGGCATCTGGTCCCATCACTTCATGGGAAATGGATGGGGAAACAGTGGAAACAGTGGCTGACTTTATTTTTCTGGGCTCCAAAATCACTGCAGATGGCGATTGCAGCCATGAATTTAAAAGACGCTTACTCCTTGGAAGGAAAGTTATGACCGACCTAGACGGTATATTAAAGAGCAGAGACATTACTTTGCCAACAAAGGTCCATCTAGTCAAACCTATGATTTTTCCAGTGGTCATGTATGGATATGAGAGTTGGACTATAAAGAAAGCTGAGTGCTGAAGAATTGATGCTTTTGAACTGCGGTGTTGGAGAAGATTCTTGAGAGTCCCTTGGACTGCAAGAAGATCCAACCAGTCCATTCTAAAGGAGATCAGTCCTGGGTGTTCATTGGAAGGACTGATGTTGAAGCTGAAACTCCAATACTTTGGCCACCTGATGCGAAGAGCTGACTCGTTTGAAAAGACTCTAATGCTGGGAAAGATTGAGGGCAGGAGGGGAAGGGGATGACAGAGGATGAGATGGTTGGTTGGCATCACCGACTCCATGGACATGAGTTTGGGTAAACCCCGGGAGATGGTGATGGACAGGGAGGCCTGGCGTGCTGCCGTCCATGGGGTCGCAAAGAGTCGGACACCACTGAGCGACTGAACTGAACTGAACTGAACTGATGGAGCTAAAGTTTAATGATGAGACTTAATTGACAAGGCAAGAATTATATGGACAAGTAAAACTCGACATGACTTAACTTGATGGTGCTGTTTTCCTGGAGCAATGAATGGTAAACTTGATGGCATAAAACAGATTATGTTTTTTTCTTTGAAGTGAGTGTGCTTGGTGAACATTAGCTTTACTCTGATGATGCTGAAAAGGATCTGATACACTGCAAGAGGAACAGAAGTAAGCATATCATGTTATAACAGAGCATAGAGTGGTATGTTAATTCTACAATCTGCTATTATCCACTTGTGTTAGAGTAACTTAAGAAAACCTGGTGTGAATATCAGCCTGTCAAAATTCTCATGCTTAGATGAAATTCAAAAGATGGTGCTCTAATCTTAACATAGGCCTTGCACAAATATTGCTATGTTGTATTTCCTATTCCAAAAATGAGCTGCTTCTTTTAGGAAAATCAAAAGGCTTATAGTCATATTTCAAAAGGCAAATTAAGATATTTTTCTAAAAAAAAACAAAACTTCTAAGATGACATAGGAAGTACACATCAAGCACTTCTGCTACATTCCAAAGTATTATATCCCAAGGAAAATAATTTGTTTGAGCTGAACTAACCTCTTTTTCATGGAATACAATGCTTACTTGAAAAAATGAATGATGCTGGAAGATCTACAAAACTTAGTGAAGCATTGTATTAGTTTAAAAAAATTTATATTAGTATAAAAGACAGTCAATGTGCAACATAAACTTATGGATTTTAGTGTAATAGAATAGGAAATATTCAATAATATCATTTTAGGCCACTTTCAAAATAACTTTGAGAAACTACCACTTTTGTAGTTTTAGTTTTGGATCAAAGATGAACTTAGATAATTATTTGAAAAGTGATTTAAAATACTATTACGTATGTGTGGGCTTTTTATTTTCATAGATTTCAACCAAAGTAATGGATTTAACATAGAAGCAAACAAAAACATCCAGAGATCTTCTAATGAGAGTGACAAGAAGAGACTTGCAAAAATATAAAAATGTAAAAAGCTCCACTGTTCCCACTGTAGTGTTTATTTGGGGAAATAGTTATACTCCATATTAACTGTGTGAGCTATTAATATTATTCTAAATAAATGAATAAACAAATTCTAACTCTATTATTTCTACTATGGAAAATATCGATAGAAGTAACTATAAACAAAATTACCCTTGGGGTCCTCACTAATTTGTTGGATTGTATAAATATTCTGACCAAAATGTTTTGAAAATCGCTGACTACACAGCCTCTGGGCCAGGACTCAGGGAGTGGGACAAAAAGCTCTCGGTGCAGGACAGAAGGGATCAGGACAACGTCCCAGGTTCCCCGGAGGGCGAGGCGCTCAGGGTCTCAGGGTCAAGGGCCCTGTCTGGGGCCAGGACGCTCCATCTTGGGTTTCCCGTCTCCCCGAGTTTCACTTTCTCTCTCACAACCCGTGTCGGGCCCTCCCGCCTGGACACGCGTGACGCGGCCCCACTTCTCACTCCCATTGGGTGTCTGATTTCTAGCTGCCAACATTCATCTCCGCGGTCCCCGGTTACAAAGTGTCCATCCACCCGCTGGACTCGCTTCTCCCCACACCCGCTCCCCAGACTCGCTACTCCCATCTCCCCAGGAGATGAGGATCGAGGGGAAGAGAACTCTCCTCCTGCTGCTGCCTGGTGCGCTGGCTGTGACCGAGACGTGGGCGGGTGAGTGCGGGGTCGGGAGGGAACGGCCTCTGCGGGGAGCGGCGAGGGGACCCAGGGAAGGAACGATCCCGCCGCCCTCGGCCAGACCTGCCCCCTCCCCCTGTCCCGTCCTGTCCCTCCCTTGCTTCCCGCCCCCTCTTCTCTGCCCCCCAAGTCCTGGTCCTTTTCCGACATTTTCGGTCTCACGAGCCCCTCGCCCCTCCCTCCTCCCAGTTTGTCACCTCAGACCCGGGATCCGAACCGCAAGAAGGGTCGGGCCGGGTCTCACCCCTTCCCGCCCCCAGGCTCCCACTCCCTGAGATATTTCTACACCGCCGTGTCCCGGCCCGGTCTCGGGGAGCCCCTCTTCATCATCGTCGGCTACGTGGACGACAAGCAGTTCGTGCGGTTTGACAGCTACGCCCCTAATCCGAGGATGGAGCCGCGGGCGCGGTGGGTGGAGCAGGAGCGGCCCGAGTATTGGGATGAGGAGACTCAGAGAGCCAGAGACACCGCACAGACTTTCCGAGTGAACCTGAACACTCTGCGCGGCTACTACAACCAGAGCGAGGCCGGTGAGCGACGCGGGCCCGGGTCCAGGTCACGACCCCCATCCCCAAGGAACGGCCGGGGTCGCCCTGAGTCTCCGGGTTCGAGGGTCACCCCAACACTGCTGAACACGCCCGGCACCCCAACCCGGGAGGAGCCGTCGGGACTTGACCCGGTTTCATTTCAGTTTGGGTTTAATCCCTGCGGATGGTCTGGGCGGGTCAGGGTCTCACACCCTCCAGGAGATGTACGGCTGCGACGTGGGGCCGGATGGGCGCCTCCGCGGGTTTGATCAGTTAGCCTACGACGGCAGAGATTACATCGCCCTGAACGAGGACCTGAGCTCCTGGACCGCGGCGGACACGGCGGCTCAGATCACCAAGCGCAAGACTGAGCAGCGCGGTGGGCGGATGACTACAGGAACTACCTAAACCGCGAGTGCGCGGAGTGGCTCCGCAGATACCTAGAGAGCGGAAAGAACACGCTGCTGCGCGCAGGTATGAGGGGCGCGGAGCCTCTCTGATCTCCCTTCGGGCTGGAGCTAGCTTCCCACGAGGAGAAGGAAGTGGGGTCCCTGTGGGAACAGCGCCCCAACTTCTTATCTGGAGAGGGAGGAATGCACCCAGGTTTTCGTATTCTGTACAAGACAGTGACTCACCAGTAGCTTCATTTCTCTGAAGGACAATTAAGGAATCCAGTGTCTTTGGAGAAGAAGCAGGAAACCATCCCTGAAATAACTGGTCAGCGGTGCCCTTTCACCCTGCCCGCCATCTTGTGACTCATGACTTTCTCAAGGCCTGTTCTCAGTCTGAAGCAGCATAAGAGGCTAGACTCCAGCTTTTCTGAGTCATTCAGTTTCCAACAAAGTCAGGACCATTGCTCTGTATTCTCCCCCTCCACGTGGAGCGTCCTACCTTGGATCTCACCCTGACTCCAGAACTTTACAAGGACTAGGAGATTTTCCCAGACCTCAGAGCCCAGGCTGGTGTCTGGTGTTTGTGCTTTTTCTTTTCAAACTCATTTTCTCATCATTTCTCAAAATGGTCACATGATGCTTCCTTCGTGGCCCATTGGAGTAACATAAAGTGTGAATTTTCTGATTCTTCCTCAGACCCTCCAACGACACATGTGACCCATCACCACATCCCTGGCCGTGGGGTCACCCTGAGGTGCTGGGCCCTGGGCTTCTACCCTGAGGAGATCTCACTGACCTGGCAGCGTGATGGGGAGGACCAGACCCAGGACATGGAGCTTGTGGAGACCAGGCCTTCAGGGGATGGAACTTTCCAGAAGTGGGCAGCCCTGGTGGTGCCTTCTGGAGAGGAGCAGAAACACACGTGTCATGTGCAGCATGAGGGGCTTCAGGAGCCCCTCACCCTGAGATGGGGTAAGGACGGGGATGGGATGGAGCTTTTCTCAGATAAAGCAGGAGCCCTTCTGGATACAGTTCAGCAAGGTCAGGACTCAAGCCTGAGGTCAGGGCCCCTTCCTTTTCCTCCACAGAACCTCCTCAGCCTTCCATCCCCATCACAGGCATCATTGTTGGCCTGGTTGGCCTGGCTGTGGTGGCTGGAGCTGTGATCTGGTGGAAGAAGCGCTCAGGTAGGGAAGGGAGGGAGGCATCTGAGTTTTCATGTCTCACTGAGGGATTTCAAGCCCAGGTAGAAGTTTGCCTGCCTTGTTCCTGGGAAATACCATCCACACATATGGGCTTGCTGGTCTGGAGCTGATGCTAACATTGACCCTTTTGTAAAATACATGTGAAAACGAAAGATAGATTTTTCACCTTCATTCCAGTTGGGGCCTGTTTCTCAGCACTTGAAGGTCGGAGGGGAAGGTCCCCACTGAGGTCAGACCTCTAGAAGGGTTGGAGATGGTCCAGTCCCCCCACATCTCCTTTCTTTATATTCCTGATTCTGTCCTGGATTTTTAGTTACAGTTCCAAAAAGTTCTCTGGGGTCCAGAACTAGGGGGTTTCTCTAGGATATCATGATTCAGTCTTCTCCATGGATTCTCATGTGATGTTTTCTTCTTGCAGGTGAACAAGGAGGGAGCTACACTCAGGCTGCAAGTAAGTACAGAGCGGGTGTGATTCCTGAGACCCTTGTGAGGGTGCAGACAAGAGGCCATGGGGGCTCACCCTCCTCAAAGTTCCTTCTCTAGTTTCTCTCCTGTGGGTTCTGACCATATCCTGGTCTTGTTCTCCCCCAGGCAGTGACAGTGTCCAGAGCTCTGGTGTGTGACCAGGGCTCTCCTGGATCCTAGAGGTGAGACCCTGGAGGGTCCTGACTGGGAGAGGAGTTGGTGCAGGGGGGACACACTGGGTGGTGGGGGTCTTTGAGTGGGATATGTGAGCATGTGGAGGGCTGTTGAGAATGTGAGCACTTACATGACTGACCTACACTGGTTCATGAATCTTTTCTTTCACAGTGAGAGACAGCTACCTCATGGGGACAAGATTCCATGTCCCATCCCTGCATTATGACTTCAAGATCTTCTGACTTCTCTTTCTGCAGAAGTCATCTGAATGTGTCTGTGCTGCTGTTAGCATAATGTAAAGAAGTGGTGAGCCTGGCACCCCCTCTGTTCACCACGACCCCCTCCCACACTGTACTGTTTTCTCTTCTCTGATGGTCCTTCCTGATCCAACACAGGCCGGGGTTGGGCTGTCTCCATCTTTGTCTTAACTTCTTTTGCATTTTCATATTTTATTGAAAATCAGGATCCAAACTATAGGTTTCCCCCATGGGTCCTCATCTATCTTGTACCCTAGTGTTTGTCTATGTGGGTCTGTTTTGTAAAACTGTAAAGATGTTTGTACAGTTTTAGTATGTCTAAATGTCTTTAGTAATATTAAAAGCAAAGAAATTGCTTTTCCTTTATGATCAGTTTAGTCATCTTCATATATGCTTTATCCTTACTAATCAAGTCTTTTCATTTTGCAGTTTTTTTTCATTTCCCTTGAAATATCAATGTTACTGGTTTCTAAGAACTCATCTATGACTAAGGATAGTAGCTATTTGTCATGCAGTTTAAATGAAATACCATGTTTTATTGCCACCTGGTAAGCCCTTAAAGCAGAGTCTAATTTAGGTTTATATTTGGTTGGAAAAGGACGGCTCCAGGGAGGGTGAGGCAGGAGGCAGAGGGGCCTGAGGGGCTGGGCTGTGGCCCCAAGAGAGATGAAGGTGGCCAGTAAGCTGGGGGAGGGGAAGGAGTGGGTCTGGGCCCAGAGTGCAAAGAGGCCTGGTGAGGCCCCGGGTGGGGAGGTGGCTGCACCTGCTAGCGTCCCCTGGGAGGAGTCAGTGCATGCGCACAAGGGTCATGGGGAATTAGGAGTAGGGTGGCAAGAGAAGATAGAACTGAAAGCCAGGGTGCACATTGAAAGGACCTACATAGTGGGAGCAGCTGGGGGGAGTCAGGTCACACCTCCGCAGAGGGTTCGGGTCAGGCAGCCAGCACAGGGGGCATGGGGCTGGGAGAAGACCCCCTCTAGGGAAAGACCAGTTGACCCAGTGGCATAAAACAAAGATTTTGTTGAGGTAGTGAGAGCCCGCTGGGATGACGGTGATGAAGAGAGGGTGATGAAGGCCAAGGAGGTGGGCAGTGGACCAAGGGCAGTATTCCTACTGTGAAGGAGGGGCAAGAGGATTCAGAGGAGATAGTGGTGAGGGTCTGGGACTTGGGGACAGGGGATGAACATGGCTCAGGGGTGACCCACCTTGGGTTAGGGTGAAGACAGGAGAAGAGGGGTGCCCTGGGTGAGGGAGGGTGAGGGTGAGGTGGTGATTTGGGGAACCACAAGAGGGGGCCTGTGATTAATTACTTGGTGAGGGCCCAAGGCACTCAGACAAGGGTGGGAGCAGGGCAGGGTGCCATGGGGGAAGCTGCAGAGGGACCAGATCAAGTGGAGTCCAGCACCTGTGGCCTGGAGAGTGGAGGAATCCAGAGGGTGAGGTTTAGGATGCAGGAGTGGGGGAGGGGCTGTGTTGGGTGAAAGGCCCCCCTTGGATGAGGGCCAAGAGCAGGTGCCTGCACAGGGGCGGAGATAGGAGGATGCGTGTCAAGTGGGGGACAGGTCCTCTCCCAGGGGCTGGGCACTGTGCTCAAGGCCCAGGGATCATTGGCAGGAGAGCTCCCCCTGGTGATGAAAATAGGGCTGTGAGGGTAGAGGGAAGTGCCCCTGAGCAAAAGTCACCCTGGGGGAAAATAAAGACTAGTAAAAGCTGAGGGGAGGTAGGAGCCTTGTAGGTGACTGATTCTTGCAGGTAAAGACCCATGAGGGGAAGAGAGGGACCTGTGGGGGGAAAGGGAATGGAGGGGGTGGGGACTCCCTCGGAAGGGATCAGGGAGCTGTAGGGAGGAGGGGGCAGCAAGGAAGGGAGGGCAAATCCCAAAGGAGCACAGGAGATGGCAGGGGAAGAGGTAAGAAAACACCTGTGGGAACACCAACACAGCAGAAAGTTTGAGTTCACATTAGTGGGGAGGTGGGATGTGAAGAGGGAAGTGGGGAGTGGAGACCACAGATATCACAGGAAGAGTCTTTTGGCCAAAGTCACGAGACTAATTTCTGTCTATGAAAATAATCAATAAACAGTCTGTAATAAAAGAATGGAGTTTTATTTGAGCCAAACTGACTAGCCTGTACATCAGCTACTCAGATAACTCTGAGAAGCTGCTCCAGAGATGCAGAATTTTCAGCACAGTTGAGTTTTGTTGTTGCTGTTGGTTTATTTTGTTGTCTTTTGTTTTGGTTTTGGGTTTTTGTTTATTTTTTGGTGTTTTTTAGGCACACCAAAGTCTTAGTTCCCAGGCCAGAGAATGAACCTGGGGCCAATAGCAGTGAAAGTGCTGAGTCCTAACCCCTCCACCACCAGGGAATTCCCTTTAAACAGAGTGGTATGTCTTGTCACAACAAAGAACATTAAACAAGTTAGGAATAGATTTCTCCAAGTTTCAAAAAACAAAACCCAGACCACACGTGCGGCACATGCAGCACGGCCTTGGCACTAGGAGGTAAGTCTTAATGAAAGGAGGACCAGGGTCTGCGGCCCAGACGAGGGGTATTTATTTTTTAGGAAGTGTGCTTCAGGCCCTTGTGTCCTTCCCAGAGCTCCTGGTCACTAGAAAGAGACCTTTAACTCCAAGGACTGAGGCCCCCTGAGCAGTCAGCCTGGAAACTCCCTGATTCCTGAGATCAGAAATGAGAAGAGGGCAGAACTGGGAACAGAAGGAGAAGACAGCACTCAGGGGCCTCGGAGCGCGCCCCACGACTCCTGGGAAGTGGTCACCTGAGCCTCTCCCCTCCAGGAGCCCTTGCATGCCTCTGACAGGAGCAACGGGGGAGGTGGGGGGCAGCCTTCCCACCCAGGGGGGTCAGAGGATGGAGGTGTGTGAAGAGGAGGAAAGCGGGCAGGGGGTGCAGCAGGGAGAGCAGCCGTTGGAAACTGGGAAGAGACAGAAAAGCGGGATGTGCTGTGGTGGCAACAGGTGGTCGCAGCAGGCCGTGTGCAGACCTCGGCCGCTTCTAGACCTTACCTTGCCCCCCACGCTCCCCATCCTCACACTCCCCCCAGCCCCTCCCCAGGCCCCACCCCTCCCCGCCCCGCATATGAGATGGTCCCCACGACACTCACCGAATCCCACCCACACCTCTCAAGCCGCCCCAGGCTCCCAGCTGAGGACCTCAGTGAACCCCACTCACCAGGGCGGTAGCCAGGAGTTTGAGAAAAAGGCAGCGCGGGCCAGAAACGGCGGGACAATGAGCTGCCTCGCCGGCCGCGCGGATCTGGACCGCTAGGTGGCGCTGCTTCTCGCCGGGCGATGCCGCCTCCCGGTGTGTGGTCAAGTGGAATCTCTTGAGCCCTGTCTTCAGTTCCTTTGCCACTCGCTTCTCCTTTCTGCGCCTCCTCCTTCTCACTTGTTCTATTCTTTTTCCCTTTTTACACTCACCCTCAACCGTTGGAGGGTTTTAGCTGTGCTGGCCCAGGACCTGGGCATTTTATCTTTTCTGTGGCAGCTTCTCAGGGACCTGTCTGGGGCTGATGTGGGAGGCCGTGATGCGGTGATGGAGGCCCTAACCCGGCCTTGTCTCTGCTTCTTCGTCGCTTCGTCGGACTGGGGCTGTTAGGCGAACACCCCAACTAAGGCACATACGTGCTTGAATTTAACACACATGGTTGAGTTCCTGTGTTTCTGCGCCCATCTTCTTCAAGGAGAATAGTGTATCTCTTAAGACAGAATTTCATCCAGGAAAAGTAAGTGGCCTGGAATTATTGATGTTCCAGGAATTACCCTCAGAACCTGGACTAGACATGTTCCTTCTGTTTTAATGATATTTTACACCACCTAAACTTATTAGGAAACCCACTGAGGTGGGAAATGTCTCATTAAAAACAATCCAGGTAACTTCTCCAGTAACCACCTGCATTAGCCCACTAGCTCCCCTCCTTGCTGAGGGCCATCCCTGGATTATCTTCTAAGATCCATCAGTTCCACACTCTCTGGTGACCCTTTAGTGCTTCTCAGCTCTTCCCACGCGAACTGGACCAGAACACTGTGGAGTCTTGTGCCACAAGCATTGGCTTGGATTAGACTCAAAGCACTTCCTCTTCAAAGGGCAGCACTTTGAAAACTAGGAATCTATCATGTTAGTCATGATGGAAAGAAATTTCTGGAGTTGCAAGTACCAAGTCTACCAGAGAGGGAAAAAAGGTTTGATTCCCGGTTTCGATAACGTGCCATAGTACCTGAGATGCTTTCGTCAGGGTAAGTTGGTTGAAGGTTGAGTGGGACATCTCTATTTTTGCAATGATTTTTGGTGAGTTTAGGATTATTTCAAAACGAGAAGGAGGGAGAGAATCAGGGAGCAGAAGCAGAGAGAAGAGAAAGGAGGTGGAGGGAAAGAGAACAAAGAAGAGGTGGGACATTAAAAATGTCCTTAATGAAAAATTGAGGACATTTCAGGAAAAGGGGCTCTCTTTATTCCTGAGGTTTTGGCCCCAACTCTATTGTGACTTCCCACCTGAGTGAGTGAACTGGATTAGTGAACATGCCTGATCACAGTGACTTTTTCCTAGACAAGAGTCTGGCCTGTGTGGAAGCCCACCTCACCATGTTCTGTCATGCCCCATAAGTCCTTCCCTCTTAGGCCTCCACAAGAGGGGCACTGAGCCATCAGGAAGACCGTGGAGATTATTTTTAAACCCACTATAAGTCTTAGCCCTTTACATATATTATTTCC